TGATTTTTTGAAAAACAATACTGATAGCTGTGCTAATTTAATTGTATGCAATATATTGCTGATGTAATAATATATTTATTTTGGTGGCACCTCAATATATCTCAAGTAATAAAGTCTTTGTTGATGAGAATTTTTATGTCATTATATATTATGTGATTTTTTGTATTGGTTATTTATTAAATAAATTTTATTCATATAAGAAATTTATACTAAGAGAGGGAAAATAAGAAAGGGGGCGGTCGGGGTCCAGGGGCAGGGCCCCTGGTAGGGTCTGGGGGGGAGCCCTAGAATGTACTTGCACGGTTTTTGTAAATTGATAATTACCCTCTTGCAGGGTTGGTTTCTTTTCCGGGGTCGAGAGGCGAAGCCCCCGCTATAGGGTGGCCAGGGGGCGCAGCCCCCAGTATAAACAGATGATTTAATATTTATGAGTTGAAATCGAGAGGTATTATTGCGCTAAGATATTTTGATATGAGATATTTTTGTTGAGAAATTTTTGATATGAGATATTTTTGTCTGAGATATTATTGTCGAGATCACGTAGGCGAGATATTAATAACACGTACCCGGTGACAGTGTACACTGACCCCTCTGCTCCACGCATTTAACTACAGCATCGGATCTAAAGGTCGTCTGTCCAGATGGGCAGTCCTCTTGTCGAAATTGGATCTCACTTTCGTTTATTGTTGCGGCACTCGTAATGGAGTTCCTGACGCCTTGTCTAGTGTTTTTAAAGGTAATATACAGCCTGATCCTATCGATACTCGACGAGCATATGAGGATATGCCTCAGTACTCCTTCAATTTATCATCAGTTGTCTTGCCTCTCGAAATAATAAAAGCACAAGACGTCACAGTAGCACAGATTACTACCCGATCGAAGTCTAGAAAACTCTTCAATAAAACTCCTTCACATCCTAAAAATACCTATAAATCTCTTCAGGTCTTTCTACACTTTAAAAATATATCAAGTCAGTCAAAAAACACTTCTTCTCTTAATAAAAGCTTTCAAAGAAATTCAGACGTTGTGAGTCTTAGCGACGTTCAAGGAGAATTAGAAGTCAAATCATCAGACCCTGTTTTTCGAGACGATGAAGAGGAAAATATTGTTATCGATAATTCTTACCTTACTCTTTTGTTCGATCGAAAGATTGCTACGGAAAATTATTCGACGTGTTATCGAAACGAAGTCTATGTACTTCAAAAGACTCCCAATAAATTACCAAACTGTCGTCTAAGGGAAGATCAATTGTATTTCTATACTTTTGACTTCAAATCGACTTTAACTGAAAATTCTTGGACAAAGGTTCCTTCTGATTACGAAACTATCGTCGATTCTTTTCGTCAAGCCCATGATGAGGTTACATCTGGTCACCTGGGTGTTGACAAAACCTATGCTAAAGTTAAATCACAGTATTACTTTCCAAATAGGTCACGAATCGTAGGCGACTATGTTATCTCTTGTGAAACTTGTTTTACCAATAAGTATAATCAACTTAAAGTGACCGCTTATCAAGGTCACAGGCCTATGTTCGCTCCTTGGTCTATTCATCCCATCCATTCCATTGAGCCATTTCCGGCCTCTAAGAAACAAAATAAATACGCTATAGTCGTTCAGGATTTGTATACGAAGTTGATCAAGGTCAAATTGGTCCTGGCTAATACCGCAAAAGTGGTTGACATCTTTTTACGCGACGTAATATTCAGTAATAGTATACCTTGTCAGATCATCTAAGACAACGGAAATGAGTATGCTAACAAAGTAATTGAACAACTGGCAGTAGAATATTATATTCATCTGACATTCACGGGCATCCTCAGGCTAATTCGGTCGAGCGCATTCACCGCACTCTTAAACCTACGATCTTAACATATTTATCGAAATACGATCATCGTACTTGGAATGGAAACTTGAAAGAGCTTGAATATGCTTATAATACCGCGTGTAATTCTGTCACGAGATGTTCTCCTTATTTCCTAATGTTTGGTCGAAGTCCACGTAATCTCAAGGTTGAAGTATCAGTTGAATATGATCATCTAACTTATAGGGACTATTTTAAACTTCGTATAGATCGTCTAAACGAGTTGCAACATTTTGTGGAGCTTAGTAGCGTAAAGGAACCAGCCAAGGTCATGATTAAGCGAGACCTAGCGTAAGTAAAGCATCTGAACATTTCTCTTCTAAAGTGGCGTATAAATATCTAGGTCCTGCAATAGTAGAATCTTTCATCTCACCTACTGTTGTTTCCTTGGTTACTTTGCATTGTAAAAGACTGGGGACTCATCATATTAATGATTTAAAATTTCGTACCAAGAACTCCTCCACATAGTGCAGTACGTTACAGGTTGGGATGGCTTCATCGGACCAGCTCTCAAATATCTTCGTCTCTGTTTGCGACGCCTTGGTGGCATCCCTCGGACCACTAAGCACTTCGGGGTCCTTACCACCACCTATAAAGGAACCTCCTGTGCAACTGCCTATTATGCTGCCACTCAACGTGACTTCTATGACAGTAGAAGACTTCTTAGACAAAGATGTTACGCCACCATTGACGATGGATGCGTCAGCATTTACAGAAGAGCCTCCTACCCCAAAGTCATTTTTAAGAACGTCACCGGAAAACTCAGATTCACCCTTAAAACTGAAAATTACACCTATGGCGCATCTAAGAAAAGACGCCGTAACTGAGGAGGTGGTATCAAAATCTCCTAAGTTAAGTCGGAAAACCAAGAAGACTAAAAGCCATATCACGACAACACCAACGGAAAAGCTTAAAGAAACAGGTACCTTATCGACATCTACACCGGAACCTAACTGTATTTCCATGAGGACTCTAGAACCACCTCATGTAATAGATCTGGCGATTGAATCGGATCAAGTGGATGAGGAATCGGAATCTAGTAAGGTCACTCCACCAATGACCCCACACTTCCCCATACTCCACGCTTAATTAATGGAACAAGTACCATCTGCAACACCGACTCCCAAGGACACACCACGTATAATGTTAGTGACGAGCGAAGTACTCGCCCAAAAGGTAGTCGAAAAGTCCAGTACGTCGAAAAGACCGACCAAGTTCAAGATAATGTCAACAAGATCAGATGGGTCAGCGTCAGTTATCAGTGAAGCCCCAGAATCTGAGTCACACTAGAAGAAGAATTCCACTGCCTCCGCGTCAGACGAGGAATAAAAACAAGATAGTAGATGCCCCCTCAGTAACATTAAACAAAGCTCCGAGAATAAGGCACGAATTTCCATCGACAGTCAATGACAGGAATAGGTACCCAGCAAATAAAAACTGCGTTCAATTGAAGTACACCACCAACGTATCCATTGACTCGGAACTGTCTAATAAAGTTCTTTGGAGGGGATGAATTAGCCCCACGGAAGGTCGAACATCGGCTAGTGCACATCCAGTACTGGGCACTACTAAACCTACCAGATCTTTATTCAAGGTTTGTGCACACCTGGAGTAATTACGATCCTGACTCTGCTGAAAATATAACACAAGATATTTTACCGGATTTTGAGCATTCGCCACCTCTATAGCGCTTGTATGTCCGAGGGAGACTAACCAGAGACGACGTGCTGGCTCTTTACATCTATGCAGTTATCGATCCATTCATCCTTGCGATGCCGTCCCAAAATGTTTATATTCCCATTATCAAATAATAATTACAATGTTTTAAATTTTTTCTTCCAACCTGCGATCTTGTTGCCTTACGTAGCGCTACGCGGCTATCCTTACTCCCTCTGAAACCGCTCCGACTGACACAAATTCAACTCCACTTTGGGATGGGGATGAAAGTGGGGTCCGCCAGAGAGGCAGCATTTTACTTACAGCTACAGGGATGTCTGAGGAGAGACAAAGTAGAATGGACAAAGAGTATGGCAAAATAAAGTCAACGTATCTAAAGAAAAGGAGTGGGCAAGAAATTAATTATTAATAAGTTAATAATAATAGAATGTTATTTGGCATAGCAGCAGCCTAAAAAGCTTCAGAGACTCAAACAAACAGGGGGTAATTGTAGATATTGGAATCGGTTTTAATATTAACGAATAAGATTGTGGGATCGTTTTCCTACTGAACAGGGCTTTTTTTTTGCTGATTCGTCGTCCACCTGGAAGTTCTCCACTTGAGTTGGAAAAAGAGAAAAATATTTGTTAAATATGCAAGTTATACTTACGGTTGTCAGCTAGTTGTAATATGAACTTCGATGCCAAACAAGATAGAGAAAGACATAAATTTAAGGGCTTGAAATTGTAAATGAAAGAGAAGAATAGATTATGGAATAAAGAAAATAATCAATTGCTTCAATTCTTCTTTTATTTAAATGTAAAACACCGTTTCACAACACAATTTTGTGGTTATAATTTACCGAACTCAATCAGATATGTAAAATAAGATTTGTGTTATTTGTTTAGGGTGAAAACCTCCGAAAGTAAGTAATTGAATAAAAACTATTATTATTATAGGTTTCGAGCCGATATACACTGAGTCTTTACGTGCACTCAATCCCGATTTGATTTCGAAGACATGTTGACAGATCCTGAAAGGCTTGAATTAACGAACGATATGAGACGGACGAGCCTCATAGAACACGTCATGTTACAACGCTGAATCCTATTTAAATTCCTAATAGGATGTGGAAGAATTCAATGAGCATATTGTTATCTCAGAATTCCCTATTGAATTAAGCCCTCACGAATGCTTTTTCAAAGTCGATCATAATTTCTTGAGGTTAAAGATCTGGTTTGATTTCTTTTAAAGCAGATAATGCTGATTTGTATATTGATTTACTCTTATTAGGCAACGAAAAATACACAAGAGGATGCACTTTGCTATCACGTAAACCATGAATTGTATATTATTGATAAAAAATAGAAGGTACAGTTTTGAATGTTCCATCAGCAAACCATATTTGACATGACTCCAAAAAATTTAAATTTTTCAGGGTACCAAACACTGAAATACGCTGCTTTCCACCACTATCATGTAATTAAAAGTTATCACCTTTCAGAGTTTGTCTTAATTTTCCCGGTAGCACCCAACCTTCCAAACTTTTTGGAGTAGAAAATTGAATATTTTCCCGAGCTCTTGTTCTTTGTACAGTGCGACAAAGACTCGAAGTGCTAGGTAATTCTGCAGCTGCTGAAAATGATATATTGTGAAGAACAGATGAAACAATATTGCTGGTACTGTCATCACTTTTTTTGCTTGCTTTTTTTAATTTCTCTACTGCTTTTCTGACTTCAACCTTTTCTGGATTATCCAAATGATTATGTGGAGCTTCTGAAGTGACTTTCCGTATAAAATTACCAATAATGGTAGACATTAAATACAACTAATGTAGTCAATACTTCTAACGCGTTTATAGATTTAATACTAACCACTTCGCTTCATAGATGTGGTATGAATACGACCAAGACAAAATGAAGATCTGTAATTTACACATCGCCAAGCAACATCACCAATATTTTTACGATGAACACTATAAATATATCCGTTATAAATCAACAAAAGTTTGCCTTTTTGGCTAAGCACAAACTTTAATGGCATCTCAAAAACGATCAAGTTGATTCACTAACGATACAAATAAAACTGATAAAGAATTGAAACACAAAGACAATTTTTCATATTAGAAATATCTCTGTGTACATTTCATTATCAATTTTTTTTTCGGTTCGTAGAATTTTAGAGACTGTTCAAGACAACTCTAACAGAAATAATCCTACAAAATTATTTCCTAAACAAATTCATAATAGCTTTCAATTCAATATATTTACTGCAAAAAAGAATTTAGTCTAACAATCATATACAAATAATTAGTTTCAAGCTAAATATGTATTTACAAATGAAAACAACAATAAAACTTATTTACATTCAGAAGAGATTTCCCACTATCTCTTTCCACCTCCCACCTTAAACCTCCATATTCTTTCTGATATACAATTTTGACTGAAATTTTTTTGTATTGTAAATCCTCGACAAAATTTCCCTCAACACAAAAATATTCCTCTACTGAACAATCATTTTATTTTCTTACACTGCATATATAATTTCGTTGAATTAACGTTGGTTTTGCCCTCAAACACGGGATTGCATATTCTACATAATCGCAAACAATTCTACAAAATATTATTGCACTAACATTTGATTGTCTTTCTGACATACAATTTTGACTGGAATTTTTTTGTATAGGAAGATTTTTGTTAGGAATATTTTTGTTGGGATATTTTGTCGGGGGATCAATTTATCGGTATATTGAACGTCTCACGGTCGATATCATTTTTTATTCTCGAGATAATCGAGGCGAAGAATAATTCCGAACGCACGTACGCACAAACGCACATACGTACATACACACACACAGACGTCCACGTAAAAACTATCGTATTCAACTGTGGGAACTTTGAAACGTGGAGATCTGTCAAAATTTGGGATTCGCAAGATCGGACCCATTACTATAACTTCCCACTAGGAAGTTAATAATTAATTAAAATAAAAATAAACCCGTTAAATTTGTAACTAATAAACCAAATAACGATGAAGACAAAAGTTTAAATAATAATAGTCAAGAAAAACCAAAGATTATTTGTCATTCATGTAATAAACCTGGTCATGTAAAGAAAAATTGTCGAGAGAAAGATAATAATAATTCAAGAGGAAATTGTCAGCTTTGTAATAAAACTGGACATACTGCTAAAAATTGTTTTAAAAATCCAAATAGAGTCTCATCAAACGTAAAATGTCAAATTTGTGAAAAAAATGGTCGTATTGCTTAAACGTGTCGATTAATTAATCATTCGAATGAAAGTAATCAAAGTAAATCTTGTAAATTTTGTAAAAAAACTGGTCACGACATTTCCACTTGTTTCCGTCTTAAAGCTAAAAAATACGACGAACAGGAAAACTCGAATGTGTCTCGCCAGATAGACGCGGGGTCAGAGGCACTTCAAAAGCGTCCAGTGACATTGACTTTCGAGGAGGAAACCGAAAACGAGTACTAATCATGAGCGTGAAATTAGAAAATTTAGACGATCTACCGTATATTATTGTAGGCAAAACAAATAAAAATGAAGATGTAATTATGATGATAGATTCAGGAGCTTCGCCGAACTTACTTAAATTTAGCTATGTAAATGATCCGACGACAATTGATAAAAGTAAAATTGTTGAATTGCACGGTATTGCAAATGTACCAATAAAGACACTCGGAAGAGTAAAAGTTAAATTATTTAATAAAGAGACTGTATGTCATGTGATTCCTGATACTTTAGGTATTCCGCATGCAGGTCTTGTAGGATCTCGATTTTTCGTCAACAGATGTATACAATCATAAAATACCTACTACTTCAGATATTCCTATAACAGTGAAACAATATCGTACAACTCAGTTTTTGAAGACAGAAATTGAAAAACAAATTAAGGAGGAACTCGACACAGGCATTATTGGGCCTTCTGAGTCTCCTTATAATAGTCCAGTTTGAATCGTGCCTAAGAAACCAGATTCGCAAGGTAATCAAAGATGGTGAGTCGTTATAGATTACAGAAAATTAAATGAAAGAACTATTACTGACGCTTATCCATTACCAAATATTACTGATATTCTTGATCAATTAGGAGGTTCAATGTATTTCTCTGTGTTTGATTTAGCTTCCGGATATCATCAGATTAAGATGGATCCAAAAGATAGCCATAAGACGGCATTTTCAACTCCACAAGGACATTAGGAGTTTAAACGGATACCGTTCGGGTTAAAAAACGCACCAGCAACGTTCCAAAGGTTAATGGATACGGTTTTGACTGGGTTGCAGGGTATATCGATGTTTCTTGAAAAATTTGGATGAGCATGGAAAAAGAATTGATGATTTAATGCAAACGTTTACGTAAAGCTAATTTGCAATTGCAACCAGATAAATGTGAATTTTTACGCAGTGAAGTAAATTGTCTGGGTCATATTATTAGTAACAAAGGGTTAAAACCTGATCCATCAAAATTAGATGCGGTTAAAAAATTTTCGGTACCGAAAACGCAAAAAAATATTAGAGCTTTTCTGAGTTGAACTGGACATTACAGAAGATTTATTAAGAATTTTTCAAAAATTGCAAAACCATTAACGCGTTTATTAGAAAAGAATAGAGATTTGAAATGGTCTCCAGAAGCACAGAGTGCTTTCGAGATATTAAAGGAAGCTTTATGTAAAGCTCCAGTATTACAATATCCAAATTTTTCAAAACCATTTATAATTACAACAGATGCTTCAGGCATTGCTGTTGGTGCAGTTTTATCTCAAGGGGAAATAGGTAAAAATGAACCTATTGCTTATTATTCCAGAGCGTTAAGAGGCGCTGAGTTGAAATATGATACATATGAAAAAGAAGCTTTGGCTATTGTCCAAGCTGTTAAAAATTTCAGGCCTTACATCTATGGGCATAAATTCACGTTAGTTACTGATCATAAACCATTGATCTGGTTCCAATCTGAAAAAGAAGCAAACGCGAGAATTCTTAAATGGCGTTTAAAATTAGCAGAATATAATCATGATGTTGTAAATCAACCGGGAAAAATTATTTTGAACGCGGATGCATTATCGCGGAATCCGGTAGAAATTGCAAATGTTACGACTCGTGCTCAAGCAAAAGTAGGAAATGAAAAGAAAGATTACTCCGATCTCGAATTGCGAATAAACAATAAAGTCAGTGATTTAAATGATTTATTAGAAAAATCGTCAAAGGAAAAAGAAAACGGCAATGTTACTCCCAAAAAGAAAAGGGGTAGACCGCGAAAGGGAGTCGTAAACACGGATGGAGCTATGCTCAAGAAAAGAGGTAGGCCACCGAAAAAGTTGTTAGACTCTAAAGAACCTGATAATGTAATTACTCAAGGTATCTCTAGTGATGATGATACGAGATGTGCTGGTTCTGGGAATCCTCATGATTCTGACTCCGAGTCTGAAGTCGAGTCGGAAAATGAATTGGATGATTTATTGGAGGATGTAGCTGTTGATGAACAAAAATTTAAAAAAATTAGGTCAAATATTATTTTATCGAAAGAATTATTTCAGTATAGAAAGGATAATTTAGTTCATTTTGTTGATGAGAGTGGACATCCTTGTGATGAGGGCTCTAAGAAATTGAAAGACCTTAATAAAATGTCTATAATTAAAGCTCCTAGAGTAGGGAGTATTCATTCGTTCAAGGTTAATCGAAAAGTTCATTTTGCATGTATAATTCGTGAATCGCAAGGAGAATCTATAATTCGAGTAAAAAGTCATTTAGGACGATTTTTGGTCAATTTAAAAGTCATGTTTAAAGAAAAGAATATTGAAACAGTTTCAGTTGCTTATTCAAAGTATATAGAAAATATTCCTTGGGATGATGTTTTATCAATGATTAAAGAAATTTTTGAGCATGAAAATATAAAGGTAATTATTTGTCTAGAAACTATTAGGCACGTTCCTCCGGATGAACGTGATAAAATTTTTGCTAAAGCACACTCTTCACCCATTGGTGGTCATAAAGGTGTGTCTAAAACATAAAATAGATTAAAGCATAATTATTATTGGGAAGATTTAAAGGGCGACGTGCAACGTCGAATACAACAATGTTTAGATTGTCAATTAAAAAAATTAACTCGTGTTAAAAATAGGCAACCGATGATTATTACGGATACTCCAGGTACAGTGTTTGAGAAAATTGCAATGGACATAGTAGGTCCATTACCAGTTACATCACAAGGAAAAGAATATATTTTAACAATTCAGGATCAATTATCGAAGTATAGTGTCGCGATTCCACTTGAAAATATGACCGCGATTTCGGTTGCGGATGCATTTATTAAAATATTTATTTGTGTATTTAGAGCACCGAAGGTTTTATTGACTGATCAAGGTCGTAATTTTATTAGTGCTTTTAAGCGAAGAATAATGAAAAGATTTAAAATAAATAAGTAGCAGACAACCGCGTTTAGGCCACAATCAAATGGTTCTCTGGAGAGATCCCACCATGTGTTGGGAGAATATTTAAAGCGATTCGCACGTAAAGATGACGAATGGGACGAGTGGTTAGCCATGTTTTCATATAATACGAGTGTTCATGGAGGTACGGAATTTACACCTTATGAACTTGTTTTTGGAAAAATCGCGCACGTTCCGACGAATGAACCTTTGCATAACTTAGATCGTCTGCCAACATATGAAAATGATATAACAGATTTAGTGGAAAGATTAATGAACATACGTAAATAAGCTTATGAAAATCTAGTAGATTCGAAAGAAACGTCAAAGAAATATTATGACAGAAAAATGAAACATATGGAGTTACATATAGGGGATAATGTTTTCTTAGAAAAAGGACCAAAGCCAAGTAAATTAGGTGATCATTATGATGGACCATTTGAAGTTTTAGAGATATATCCTAATGGAAATGTCAAAATACTAATTAAGAATAAACCAAAAATAGTTCATTCTGATAGAGTAAAAAGGTCGAAAATAACGATGTTCGAAGCTAAAGAACAATTGAAGAAGTCAAAAAAGCGAATAACCAAGGAGAAGGATC